CTCCCTCCAAAAAAAAAAAAGAAAAAAAAAAAGGAATAAAAGAGATAGGTCTCGAAAGTACTTTTAAAAGAGTACCCCCGCTTCTCTATAGTGATTTTACCTCTTCGAATTATTAGTTCTTACCTATAATCTTGGTTCCTCGTATCTCTTTCTCTCTTTCTCTCTCTATCTCTCTCGTATTAACCATCGACGGTCATTTTCTGTCGACTTTTGACCTGGCAACTCTGTAATCAAGAGTAAATCGTGTCCAGCCCGTTTTTACCGAACGTTTAAAGACCGAATACGCGACTGCATCGAACTCTTATTCTTGGCTAAACTCACTCCTTGCCATTCCTTCATCTTTTCTCATTCTCTCATTTCTTTTCTTTCTTTTTCTTCATCTCTTTCTCTCTACTTTGTCTCATCCGCATCCATTTTCGTCGTCTGTCCGTCCGTCCGTACAATGCCAATTTCCCAAGACTGCCATTTGCAGCCATTAAATTGTTTTCGACCCCCATCTTCCGTTGATATCGTGACTCGTGACCCTCTCTCTCTCTCTCTCTCTTTCTCTCTTTCTCTCTTTCTCTCTCTCTTTCTCTATTCCTCATCCCCATCATCCCCATCCACCACCCCACCCCCTTCTTTCTCTCTACTCTCTCACTTTCTCGTATCGTTTCTTTTCAACGCAACAACACGCACACACGATCAACCTAAACGTGCACCCCCCCCACCCCACCCCACCCCCTGCTGCCATGTATCCGTGTAAATACTCTTTTCTACCGATTATGGGTTTGCCACGATTAGCGGAGAGACATCGAACGAAGAAACTTAAAGAACGAATAAACGAATAAACGAAATAAGAAGGAAAAAAGAAAAAGGAAACCTATAAAAGAACGAAAAGAGGTATACACGATGTGAGAGAGAGAGAGAGAGAGAGAGAGAGATGTAGTAGAAATCGATTTTCTATAATGTCCACGTTGTTATTATTCTTTGATTACTTTCGTTATTATAATCGTCTCGATTCAAAGGCTATTATGGAAGAATAAAAGGGAATGATCAAAATTTGCGATTTGATTTTGATTGCTTTGACTGACGACTATAAACAATAATGTATATATATGTGTGTGTGTGTATATATCAACGATTGTCTATGGAAATTGAACACTTTGATGAAATTAACGAAACTAATTCACTAGCTCCTTCTTCTTATTTTTCTTATTTTTCTTATTTCAAAATTGAATCGGTGAATCATTAATCCTTTAGGTGAATATGATATTGCTTCTCGTAATTGCATGTTAGAATGATTAGACGATTATACAAGGAAATACATACGCGTTATTATTAAAACGTGTAGTCATAAGATTATTTTAAATCCATTTGCATCATGAAACTATATAAACACGTGATTAACTTTATAAATGAAAAATATTCAATTGAGACAAAATGTGTTATACAATCGGATCGTATATATCATTGCATATATTACTTTTATAATTGTAATTTATATATATATAT